TGTCCAACTTCAACTGATCCACGAAGTTGAGCAACCATTCACCGATCGTCTTCAGTGAGTTCCTATCTCACAACAGACGTGGTTTGAACTCCACTGGTTACTGCTTCTCACTAGAGCTCCTGGATGTACTTCTCGAAGTCACTAGTGAGCATATGATTGTAGTAATTATCAACTATGAAAAATACTAAATCTCCACAAAACCTCTTCTGATAATTAAAAACATTTTAATGATCACATCACTGCATTCACTAAATCTAGTATTATTATTATCCGTATTATGTAATCTAGTATTATAATCCTTCTATTACTTTATTTTGGTTATTCGTGTTCTCATTTCTCCACGGAATTAGTACTTTAACAAATAATTTTCCTATATATATATATATATATATATATATATATATATATATACGATCATATAGCTTCATAATAAATTCGTTGAAAGGAGATCCCTTCACTAAACTTTGTTTTTATTTTTTAATATTTAAATGAGAATTATCTGTCAATTTATATACATCTCTACACTTTGTGTCTGGTCACGTTAAGTGTTGCTCAAATTCTTTTTACTTTTAGTTAATTTTGTCTCTTTCTTGGGGTGGGGGGTAGACAGCTACTAAGAAATCAGTTCAGATTGTTGATTAAAATATAACCAACAAAATTATACCGACTTTCTACCTAAATATGAAACAAATATAACTGCGAATTAAATGTCACGGCGGAATTTACTGTAAAACACCTTGATTTGATTTCGTAAATTTAATTAAAATACACCCATAAATATTATTCAGTTACAATATAATTATCCAGTTGAATAAAACATTATGTGATACTACGCCAACGCAGAAAATAATTATCCACTACACACACCAAACAATTATTTAGAAGTTAACTGTCTACTACTCAAACAGGTTTGTGTACACATACCACCATCGAAAAATTCCATTATGGTTGGCTAAGTGTTTACAGAAAATATATTTTCAAAAATTGCCTTGATTTACGTATCGTTTTTTTATAGTATAGTTTTAAGAAGTCAATTTCTACGGAAATCCAACTAAGTTCATTCAAACGAAAGTGATTGTGCAAAAACTATCTAACTTTATAAAAAATAATGAATGATTTACCCATGTTATTTGGTATGATAATCGATGTTCTTGGAATAATGGACATACTTTTAAATTAATTCATTGGTTCTGCGTGGATAGTTTACTTATTTGGTTGGCACTCAAGAAAGTCGAATTATCAAAACCATAAAAATGTTTATCTACGAAAATTATTACTGGAGTAGCCGAAATGTCCCCTAAGATTCTCAGCAAAGGTTCAAGTATTTATGATTGTTATGACTGGTTTCATTATGCGCCTAACAGATGCGGTTAGAATTACATATCTATCACTATGTGGAGTTGATCTTCGTGTTAAATTTGGAGAAATGTTCTGCTGTTTTCACATATTTTTGCATAGTATTTCATCAGACATTTCAACTTGGGCTTTTGTTCTATTGTACTTTGATAGACTCTCTCTTATTCTAGTTGGCCGAATTTGCATACGGATTATGAACACCAAGATAACTATAGTTATTCAAGCCATATTTATATTTGTCATAACTTTATTGCCAAATAATGAGCTTCTAAAATTCTCGGAAGAAATTTGCACCCAGTATTTTTATAAATAAAATTTAATGTGCACCTGGTTTCTCATTCAGTATATTTCTTCCAACGGTTATCTCAATAGTGTCCTCTGGTTTAATTATCCAATTATGTTACAATAGGGAGATCAAAAACAATACTAGTCGTAAACTAATCGCATTACCCGGTTCACGATTACCATGTATTTCTTTAAGATCAATGAATAAGATTCTTGCTGCTAAAATGACATTATTATCAACTTCAACATTTCCAACATTTCATACACTTCTGTTTATTTTTGCTTTAATGAACAAAAATTACCATTGCTTTTTTTCTTTGAAGATCAACTAAGTATCGAAGACTACTTCTATGTTTCCCTACTATTGATAATATGCATTCTCCATACACTTCAACTCTATATGTTCATTTTATCTTCCACAAGTATTAATTGTGACATGCATATTGTGCTTACAAATATGAGGATAGAACTCTTAAGGCGTTTTACTAGAAACTGTTGAGTAGATTTTTTTGTTCTGCTTTACTGATATCGGTTTAATTAACAATAGTATATTTGGCGCAATATTACAAGAGTAGCACTAGACGGCCATTCCGTCCTATTGTGGGACTCCTCAACATCGCGCATCTACGATCCCGCACTCGCGAGATTCAAACCTAGAACCTATCAGTCTCGCGCACGAGCGCTTAACCACTAGACCACTGAGATAGCCGGCATCCAACGGTGTTAATGTCTAACTTCAACCAATCCACGAAGTTGAGCAACCGTTCACCAATTGTCTTCAGTGAGTTGATATCTCCCAACAGACCTGGTTGAACTCCACTGGTTACTGCTTCTCACTAGAACTCTAGGAAATAGCTCATAGAGCCAGTCACTAGTGAGCATATGATTATTATCAGAAGGGGGTTTGGTGGAGATTTCAGTATTTTCATAGTTGTAATTATGAGTCAATTGAAGCTAGACCACCATGGAAAACCTGGAAGCACTGGACGGCCGTTTCGTTCTATTATTTTAATTTTAATTATTCAACAAACTATCTGCAATTTCCAGTTGTAAATAAATTTTTCACGTCTTGAAAAATAATTAATCACGCAAAATTTACAAAAATACATATCATGAGATGCCAAGAAAATGGATTTAGACTGTTTTACAAGCTGATTATTCCTACTGATGGGTAAAGAATAGACTTTAGTGCATACTGTAATTACTGATTATATTTTGAATACTGCGTAACAGTTAAGGCCGGAACTACCACTTCATCGTATGTGGAACTTGTCGATTAGAAGTATTGACATCCCACTGTAGGTGTCAAAACTGAGACTAGGACTCACTGCTCATCGCTTCAAAACGATTTAGGTTTTGTATTCCGTTCAAGTAACTAGTAAGAAAGCTTTCGAAACTCTTGTTTGATGAAAAATGATTAACTAATAGAAAAAACAATAAAGCGTTTCCCATAGAGTTTGGACTGAAGGGAAATAAATAAACAGTGTATTTGGATTCAAAACCGTTATTTGTAAATTGCTTCAACTAAGTTGTTTGATTGTCAGTAAAAATCGTACCTCAAAAGAAATTACCAAAGATTGGTGGTTTTTACTCGAGATCTACCTTTCCTGTCCAGATATCATATTAAAATTATTCCGAATACCAAATTCAAAGACTTAATGGTATACCGGTTGGTGTTGCAGAAGAATATGGGATACCATATAATTATATAGTTCGTGTGCATATGGAATTCGGAACTGAAAAGATGATATTTATTTGGAACGACGTGCCATCGAAAGGAACAATAAAATGGGACGAGGCTTTCAAACCTTGGGTAGTGAGTCTCCTGGTGTCTATAAGCTGTCATAAGCACAGTCAGAAGGGAAATGCGTCCTTCAGATAATTGGATAATAATGACTACGATACCTATCGGAAATTAAAGAACACATGACCGTCAAATAGATACCAGCAATTCACGAAATAAATCAAGCTCTATGAATTCAAAACGGGAGGGCTTTTCAGGTTAAACTAAGTTTCAGTCAGCAGCATACATGATACAAAATAATTAATAAAATAGGAAAAAACTAGCAGTACAAGCAGGAGAAGCGATGTGTATGATTCCTAAATTCCGTAACGATTGAGTGCGGGATCGTGGGTGCGCACTGCTGAGGAGTCCCATAATAGGACGAAACGGCCGTCCAGTGCTTCCAGGTTTTCCATGATGGTCTAGCTTCTATTGACTCATGATTACAACTATGAAAATACTGAAATATCCACAAAAACTCCTGATCTAAAATCTTAAACTTGAATAACGGTTAATCAATGATACTTTTAAACACATCCACCAATTAGAAGATTGCAGATTTTTTAGTATTTATCCTTTTTTCTGTAATATTATTGATGGTTCAAATTTATTTAATTTAACTTTAGATTTAGTTAGTCATATACAAGTTTATTAAAGATAAGTACAAAATCGTTGTAAAAATAACAATCATATTGCTCTCCAAACTTGGAAATTAAAAGTTACTATTGATCCATCTCCTTCAGTAGATCACTGTTCATTTCAAATATATATGAAAACATAAGTATTAACTGTTCGATCCCATAAATTCCATCAACTGAATAGAAATATAAGAAAATCCGTTTCAAATGAAACAAAAAAACAAAACTGAAAAGTAGTGAAAAAAATATCACAAAAATTATCTCATCCCCCCTATTTTTGCTCATTAAATAACAATTATCATCATTCAGAAGGGGATTTGTGGAGATTTCAGTATATTTCAAAGTTGAAATCATGAGTCAATTGAAGCTAGACAACCATCAAAAACCTGGAGACACTGGACGGCCGTCTCGCCCTATTATGGGACTCCTCAGCAGTGCGCACCCACGATCCCGCACTCGCGAGATTCGAACCCAGAACCTACCAGTTACGAGCCAGAGCCCTTAACCGATAGACCACTGAGCCGGCCGACATCCAACGGTGTTAATGTCTAACTTCAACCAATCATCATTCCTTTTAAAAGAATAATAAAATTTTTACAAAAAAATCATTTCTACCCAATAAAAATATAAGTAAACAAGTTCATAAACTATGTTTTTTTCAAATTTGAATATCTGCGGTACAAAATAGGTGGCGGTTTTTTTGTTTATCTATTTGTTTGTTTTTTTTTTTTAAAAAAAGAAGAAAAGTATCTTTTTCCATTAAGTTTAAAAATCAAATAATTTACAGTGGATAAACATTTTTAACTTGTTCTTTATAAGTAGAAAATATTAGAAACCAAATGTGATAATTCATCATTCATATAATAATATCCTTCTTGGTAATAAATGAATGAAAAATAGTCAGTGATGATATATATATATATATTATACGTTAGAAACTATTTATCTAAAATTGGTTTGATTTGACCATTATGACTATTACTATTAGTATTATTATTAGTATCATCATCAGTAGTATTTTTGTTACTTTCAAAATCATCAGTTATAGTTAATGAATGATTGTCCGTTTTATCAGTATCGTCAGATTTAGAATTAAAGCAACATATTTCATTAGTAGTTGGATCGTAAGAAAATTTATTTGCTGGTAATTTTTCCAAATATTTTGCTGTTGGATAAAAGAACCATACAAATAATATTAAACCAATGACAATGAGAGCGAGTACTTCAATGTAATATCCATCGAATACCTTTACGCAAGATTCTGTTGCATTAATACAATTCTATTTTGAATTTGAAGAAAAAAAGAAAGAAGTTAAAGTTGACAAATTGCACTCAGTTTATACAACGTTACTTGATAAAATACAAAAACCATACTATGATACTCTATTTGCAAAATGCTCTTCAATTGTTTCAGGCTTCATTGTTCCTGGATTTCCACGCAAATTGCTTTTGATTTCTGTTCTTCTCTTCTTGATCTTCTCAATCTTCTGCTGTCAGATATTCTATTCTTTACTCACTATATATACTACTTATGCCGATATAAGTAGCTCACACCACAATATATATATGTATCTATTTATAACCACTTTTCTGTAATAATTAAAAACTTGCAATTACAACAAGAAAAAGAATAGTGAAGTAATTAGGCTAACATAATGAAAGAAAATATCGTATGTATGATTCTCAACAATTTAGTATACATACAATTGCTGGAAAAATGCTGCTTTCCCATTCCATAAAACGTGAAGAAATGTAAGAAGTAATGTATTGAACTTCGAGACATAACTTCAGTGTAAGAGCTAGTAATGTCATCTGGACAAAGAAGTGAATGTTTTAATTAATAAAATCACCACTTTATTTGTTAGTGTTACATTAAACCGGAAAATCCTAACAAAACATATCTATCTTTATGATTGTTGGACTTAATGACCTAAGTTTGTCATATTATGGTTAAGTATGGTATAGGGAAGAGCTTAAAATAGCCGTTACGAATTTCCATCTAGTTTGTAATCAAACATCTTTTATAAATGGGTATTTTATGGGAAAGATAACAAAAATGTTGTGAAGTGTAAACTAATTTTAAACAATTAGTAAACTTATAATTATCTCCTATAGGTTACTCTGACTGTACATCAAAACAATAACGACATATGAACTTGTACTACGGATATAGATTTTCCATCTTTTCGAAACCTTTTAAAGGATTCAAAGACATTTTTCTGAATCCTAGTTAGGATGTCTTAGGGTTAAGTTGAGGGATTTAAGATTAAGGTTTTCATTACGAATTGACATCACCGATACTATAAACATACTCTGTAGCCATATATATATATATATATATATATATATATATGAATTTCTCTCAAGACACAAGAGATTTTGCTCCATTATTTCGTCTACAAACTATAGTGTTACTATGTTCATTTCAGGATTAAGGTCAAGTTGGATATTCCCAGATAGTTAAGTGATCAAAGACGGAACCCCTAATCACTATCTTTTCACTGTTTTAGAACCAGGTTAGTATACATCCTCGTCCACTGGGTGAAAGTGATTGCTACCTATGGCTCTTTGTATACAAAAGAAATAGGCCTTACATTTGTCTTCGTCTTAGCCTTCTTTTATTGTTATTTTCATTTCATATAATCTCCTCTTTTAATCAATATTTACTTACTTACTTACTTACTTACTTACGCCTGTTGCTCCCAATGGAGCATAGGCCGCCGACCAGCTTTCTCCAACCCACTCTGTCCTGGGCTTCCTTTCCTAGTTCTTTCCAGTTCTTGTTCATTATTCTCATGTCTGTCTCAATTTCTCGGCGTAATGTGTTCTTTGGTCTTCCTCTTCTCCGTTGACTTTCAGGATTCCATGTGAGGGCTTGTCTTGTGACGCAATCAGGTGATTTCCTCAAGGTGTGCCCAATCCACTTCCAGCACTTCTTCCTGATTTCTTCCTCCGCTAAAATCTGGTTTGTTCTATCCCACAGTAACTTATTGCTGATAGTGTCTGGCCATCGGATCCGAAGTATTTTGAGTAGACAGCTGTTGATGAACACTTGTATCTTCTGGATAATGGCTTTCGTAGTTCTCCACGTCTCCGCTCCATACAGTAGAACTGTCTTGACATTTGTATTGAAAATTCTAACCTTGGTGTTGGTTGACAATTGTTTTGAGCTCCAGATGTTTTTCAGCTGTAGGTATGCTGCTCTTGCTTTGCCGATCCTCGCCCTCTCATCTGCATCTGATCCACCGTGTTCATCAATGATGCTGCCCAGATATGTGAAGATTTCCACATCCTCCAAAGCTTCTCCGTCAAGTGTAATTGGATTGGTGCATATTGTATTGTATCGGAGAGTCTTGCTTTTCCCTTTGTTTATATTGAGACCTACTGCTGCTGAGGCTGCTGCTACACTGGTCGTTTTCTCCTGCATTTGTTGTTGCGTTTGTGATAGAAGAGCCAGATCATCCGCGAAGTCTAAATCGTCAAGCTGCATCCTGCCTGTTCACTGTATCCCGTGATTTCCTCCAGATGTTGACGTCTTCATGATCCAGTCGATTACCAGGAGAAAGAGAAACGGTGAGAGTAAGCAACCTTGTCTAACACCGGTCTTTACTTGAAACGAGTCGGTGAGTTGTCCTCCGTGGACGATTTGGCAGTTTAGTCCATCATAGGAGTTCCGTATGATGTTGACTATTTTCTCAGGCACGCCGTAGTGTCGAAGAAGCCTCCATAGTGTCGTCCTTTCCACGCTATCAAATGCCTTCTCGTAATCGATGAAGTTGATGTAGAGTGATGAGTTCCATTCGATTGATTGTTCCACAATGATCCGCAGAGTTGCGATTTGGTCTGTGCACGATCTATCCTTACGAAATCCAGCTTGTTGATCTCGAAGTTAGGCGTCCACGGAATCCTTCATCCTGTTTAACAACACTCTGTTGAAGACTTTTCCTCGTATTGAGAGAAGAGTGATGCCCCTGTAGTTGTCGCACTTGCTCAGATCGCCTTTCTTTGGTATCTTGATCAGAAGTCCTTTTTTCCAGTCTATTGGTACTTGTTCTTCATCCCAAATCTTACTGAAGAGGATGTGGAGTATCTTGGCAGTTGCTGCTACATTTGCTTTCAGTGCCTCTGCCGGGATGTTGTCTGGTCCCGCTGCTTTGCCACTCTTGACTTGTCTAATGGACATGCTGATCTCTTCAATTGTTGGTGGGCTAACATCGATTGGGAGGTCCATGGGTGCTGCTTCGATGTTGGGTGGGTTCAGTGGGGCTGGTCGATTCAAGAGTTCTTTGAAGTTTTCTACCCACCTGTTTCGTTATTCTTCAATGTCGGTGATTACTTTGCCTTCCTTGCTTTTCACTGATCTTTCTGGCTTACGGTAATTTCCAGCAAGTTTCTTTGTTGTATCATACAGTTGTCTCATGTTTCCCTCTCTTGCAGCCTTTTCCGCTGTCGTTGCTAAATCTTCCACATATTTACGTTTGTCGGTTCTGATGCTCCTCTTCACTTGCTTGTTTGCCTCTGTGTATTCGGCTTGTGCCTTGGCTTTTTCCGCTCTGGTTCGGCTGATATTGATTGCTGCCTTCTTGTTCCTCCTTGCTTCAATCTTATCTAGTGTACCAATGTGGTGTGGTCTACTTATATCCATATAAGTAGTATATGGTGTGGGTCAGACATAGAATGTATTTTGGCAGAAGACCGATCAGGAAAGAACTGAAATGAAGCGCAATCGTTTGGAAAATGCATGAGCAGTGGAATTAGAGAAGAAACAGTGAAGATTGAAACAATTGGCTGTTAATTTGCAAATTGACTGTTCATTGTATGGTTTTCAGAATTTAATGAGATAGTCTGTAATTTTGCTTAAATACATTCGATTGTCCCCAACTAGTGTTCTGTTCACTACATTTGGTGTCACTGCCAACCAGGAGGAGGAAGGGTGCTGTTCTGCGGACGCCGCTGCGGGTCTGGAGTGGAGGTGCTAGTTGAGGCAGTCTGGTGAGGAGAGGTGGCGTCGAGTGGAGTGTTCTGGCGGTGCGGCGTTGGCTGTAGCGGGTGCTGTCGACGGAGAGTAGCAGTGGGACGTGCGGCTGCTGGGCGGACATCGGATGTAGATGGCTCAGCAGGCCGGTGGAGTACGGGTGTTGAACGTCCCAGGTGCCGGGTGGATGCGGATGTTGGTGCCCCGGCAGGTCGACGGAGCTATGGAGGTCAGCGCGCCGCAGACTCGACATTCTGACGGAGAGTTTGGCACAGATTGCAGTGAAAGAAGATAGTGGCGTGGCGAGCAGAACCACCGCATGGTCGAATGCTTTAAAGGGGGGACGAGTGTGGTGTGGTCTACTTATATCCATATAAGTAGTATATGGTGTGGGTCAGACATAGAATGTATTTTGGCAGAAGACCGATCAGGAAAGAACTGAAATGAAGCGCAATCGTTTGGAAAATGCATGAGCAGTGGAATTAGAGAAGAAACAGTGAAGATTGAAACAATTGGCTGTTAATTTGCAAATTGACTGTTCATTGTATGGTTTTCAGAATTTAATGAGATAGTCTGTAATTTTGCTTAAATACATTCGATTGTCCCCAACTAGTGTTCTGTTCACTACACCAACAGTGATCCATTCCTTGTGATGGTGCTTCTTTTGGCCCAGAATCTCTTGACATGTTGAAACGATTGCCTCCTTGATATTTCGTTACCCTATGGCATTTTACTCATAATAGTCTTCAATATCACTTTAATTAACCCTACTAACATCTTTGATTGTACAAAAAAAGCAATTTAATTATGTTACTCCATTACCAAAACAATCATTTATTAACTTTATATTTTTGGATGCTTTCTTCAGGTACGCACGCCCTTATATTGTTATCATTTAAATTAAGTGATCCAGTACAGGTTCAGCCAGTTGATGAGTACCGAGTAGGAAGAATCGCGAGTTCTGGACTCCACGGTTAGCCACCATTCATCTCTGCTTAAAATACTAAAATATTATCAATGCCATTTCTTTTTTCATGAATCCTACTAGTTATTAGTAGATAATATTACAACAAACTGTGTTATTAATAAAAAATGAACGTATATAGAAAATATTTTACAAAATATAGCATGTAAATTATATTCACATACGTTATTTCCATCTAAAGCATGGCAAGTGGTGTTCTTAGTAATCAATGAACCATTTAAAAATGTCCCACTAGCGTTTGTATGTATTCCAGTATGACTTTCATTTTTCGTACATGAACGAATCGTCAAAGGCTCTATTAGAGCGAGACAGATAGTATTTCCTAAAGCACCAGCTATTTTGAACAAATAAAAAATAACCATTTTGAAACGATCAGATCAGTTAACATTCAAAATGAGTAAACTATTGTTCTTGAACTCAGTTTATACACCTTTGTATCTACTTTACATAAAGTCACCATATAAACATTTTATTGAAACCGATCGTCTGCACATGATATTAATGAGTCAGATTGATGCATACATGTCTCTGCATTTACATGCATATCGTAGAGAGATGTTAAGTTGGTTAAAGCATAGGACTTTCAAGTATAAGATGAAACACCACATTGATTAATCCAGATTAGGCGTTAAGACGATATTTCTATTTTTTAAATTCAGCTGTTGGTACATTTCGTGTCCCAACACTCAAATATCAACTTCCAAGCCGGATCCTAAGAATTAGAAATCTTTTGTCTTTGGGCACCGAACACAAAAACAAAAATCAGGGGATATGCAAGGTTTATTTCTAAGGTCAGTTCATATATTTAATAAAGTTATAGAATTACATACGATCTGGAGTTCCTAAAAGTTTCTAGAAATCGTCCTAAAATTGATAACAGTCGATAATTGTTCAATCGGACAGCAAAAAACGTAATTCGCCGTTGTTGATTATTCTCTTTCAAAATTCTCAAAGAATCTTGACAGGTCTAATGATGTTTCAGCATTTCTCTAACTTCTGAAAACTTTTACAAAGAATTATTGTAGATTCCTAACAGGTAAACAAACTTAAACCCGGTTATTGATTCGAAATGTATATGCAGGCAGTTTTTTATTAGATCTAAACTTAAATCAACACGAAAAACTGTTCATCATCAGGTAAATCAAAATAAATGTTAACTGAAAAAGCTACTAACTAAATTAAAGTCCCAAAAAGAAACCAGACGAAATAAATTTAATGTTCTACAGTAAATAAACAAATGTATTGCGATATGTGATATTTCAAAGGTGAAAAATTAACTATTATCAGGCTGAAAAGATGATTATTTTACGCAGCTTTTTTTAAAAAAAAATTAGAAGAAACATTCGTCTGCAACAATGCAGTTAACTTTGGGATATTGTCTATAAGACCAAAAACAATCTCATTGTTAAATATGAGAAAAAAGACGGTAAGTTCGAAACTACTGCAATAACCTGTTAGTAAATCCTACAAATTATCACTATCGTTACTAAATTTTCTTTTCAATAAAGCAGATATCGTAGAATGTAAATTGTTTTGTCAAAAATTAAGATGTTTGAAGTAATATGAACTGAAATTGTAAACAACTACTATCAAGACTACTTATTATCTTTTAATATCATTAGAGACAATGTTAGTGATGGATATCAGTGATAGTTGTTAGATATTAAATCTTGAAAAAGAACTATTCTGGTAGAATGTAGGTATCATTACCAAAGTTTGACTTGATAATTTCGAATAATTTGAGCATTGGGTAGATTGTTATGAATAAAATAATATATTTGTATTATTCTCTAAAGAAGTGACTTACGCTGAGTCACGAAACGTCAGAAAATCTAATTTTTCTACTCAATGGGACATTACAAATATATTATTTTATTTACTCTGATATAAGTTATAAAAAAGGGTGAAAGTATCCATAATTACTTTTTACTTGTGAAAAAAACTTGACCAAATACAAAGTTATACATGAAAATAAAACAGAAAATCATAATAGAATGTCTTGTGGTTCAAATAATTACGTTTCAGTCTACAATTACAGATCATATGGAGTGCCTGATGGAGATATCACTGATAGAGCCAAGCATAAATTCTTAAAATGTAATTAACAAGTTAAAGACAAAGATCCCCGCGTAATAAATATCAAAATTAAATGACTAGGAATACTTTTAGTCAACACTAACGTATTCAGTTCAAATTTACAATTGTCATTAATGCTTACATTTGTACTAATCAATTATAGCAGTTATTACACTCTACAATACTGGAATTTATTTAGTAAGAAGTTTTAAACATGATAAAGTATTGTAAGAAAGGATGGATAGTGGCTAGCAGTGGAATCAAGGACGCGCGTTTCGTCCTATTTGGGACTCGTCATGCTTGTGAATTTAGGCTATATCGAGGCAATACGCACAGTGTGCACATAGAGACTGACCAGTCGCAGTCCTAAAACATCAATGGGAAGATTCAAACAAACAATACTAAGTGAATGATGAAGTATTGTTTCACTTTAAGGATAGAACTTTCGGATGAATATTAGGTAAGTTAAATAGTTGACCATTTAAAGCTCAATAATAAACAATATATATATATATATATATATATATATATATATATATATATGTCATACATATCTTAACAAGTTTACATGGAGAAACGTGCCACACAAGTGAACTTAATAATTTTAATGAAATTCTAATGATAATTGATTATATTTTCAAGAAATTTTACTGGACTAAGAAAAATCAATGATGTACATTTCGATATTAAATGATACATAAATAAACATAAGAAAAGTGATCATTATGGCTACATTCTCTTACTGACTATTTGAACGTGATTTTTTTATATTTGATAATATTGACACATATATTGCCAAAAACAATAGAGTGGTAATATCAAATGACCCTTAAGTCAAAGTTGGATATTAAAATTTAGTGAATGATCATTTTATTTCTTCATTTATAATAACCATATCAGTAATAGAGAAAAAAAAAGTAAATAGCACAAAGAAAGAGTACACTTCATACCAATATTTTGGACAGTATTCAATAATGTCATATAGGTTCCTCCAATAACTGGATCACTTATTTTGACACTAAACGCTTGAAATTGCAAAAATACTATTAATGCTGTAATTCTATCAAAAAGGAAGCCACTTATTAATATTACGTAGAATATCCATTGAAATGAATAAGTTGGTTTACTTTTCATTAATATTAATGTATCATTAGTATTAGTTGTAAAATTATTTAATGTTGTCATATTCCAATCATTCTTCATCAAAGTATCATTTGAAATTATTCGAAAATTCGGTATAAAATGTAAAATTGGAATAAACATACAATTTGACAATAACCTAGATCATTTTCAAAGTAATAAATGCAGAAACTTTTGAATAGAAATATTACAGTAACCAAATAATGTGAACATTACTGCGAAATTTATTTAAAATTGGAATTTTTAATGACATATAAATTTTTTCTAGTTGAAACCAGGAGTCAATTGAAGCTAGACGGCCGTTTCGTCCTATTGTGGGACTCTTCAACATCGCGCATCTACGATCCCGCCTTGCAAGATTCGAACCCAGAACTTATCAGTCTCGCGCACGAGCGCTTAACCACTAGACCACTGAGATAGCCGGCATCCAACGGTGTTAATGTCTAACTTCAACCAATCCACGAAGTTGAGCAACCGTTCACCAATTGTCTTCAGTGAGTTGATATCTCCCAACAGACCTGGTTGAACTCCACTGGTTACTGCTTCTCACTAGAACTCTAGGAAATAGCTCATAGAGCCAGTCACTAGTGAGCATATGATTATTATCAGAAGGGGGTTTGGTGGAGATTTTAGTAATTTTATATTGTTGAAATCATGAGTCAATTACATTGTAATTACATTGTTAAGTATAAATTATATTCACGTTAAAAAACAAACAAACAATCTTACATTTAATAAGCTATAATAATTTATAATTACAAAATTTCTGCTTAGATTGTAATAGGCTAAGCCAATAAGATATGAACCAAATGATAAATAGATGTTGAGGAGAGAACACAAAAAACAAAAGTTGGTTTAGCAGAGAGGGATAGTGACTAGCATTGGAATCAAGGACGTGCGTTTCGTCCTATTTGGAACTCGTCAACTGGATGTACCTGCATCTCAGAGTTGATGTTCACTCTGGGACTCAAACCCAGTACCCTCGCTTCAAACGCCATCGCGTTATCTACTCGGCCACTGAATCCTGATAACCACTTGCTTGTGCGATGGGGTGAAGTTTAAATTCAATTAAATTCAATTGCTTACCATGCTTGTGAATTAAGGCTATATCGAGGCAATACGCACAGTATGTACATATGCCAATTAGAGACTGACCAGTTGCAGTCCTAACACATCGATGGGAAGATTCAAACAAACAATACTAAAAGTTGGTTTAACTTTCTGAATATAGTGATACATGCTATTGGCTGAAAATGTGATTTGATTTATTGGGGAAGATATATGTTTACAAGTGAGTTATGCACATGTTTTCGATTCGATTTACCCAATAAACGTTCTGTTATATCCGAACGAAAACAGAATGAATGGTATGTTCCAGGACTAATTTATGGATTATTATCATATATGTACTCCTGTTATAGAATTATTGGGTAATTATATATATATTATCATAAGCTCTCGATTAACACATTAACTACCGCTGTATAATTTACCATTCTAACAGTTGAATATATTAGTCGATCTAAGCCAGACCACCGTTGAAAACCTGGAAGCACTGGAGGACTGGTGAATTCAACAATTACTACGATTTCCACAAATACTCATCCTGATTTATTATTCTTAATCTTTTACCATTTTTATTAATAACTGCTCTCCTTTTAGCTTGTTTATTTGTAGCTGTTATTTTCTATTTTATAGTGTATTGAGGTCCAGTTGTATATAAAGTAAGTCTGTCTGAAATGCAAAAGTAGAGCGTGGTTACTGATTTCTGAACTCAAGTAGAGGGAAAAGAGAAACTAGAAGATCATGAATCAATAACAGCTTAGCGTCGATTCAAGGTCATTAGTGCTGAATGGATTACCATTAGTTTTGTTACGTGAATTTAGACAGCAGGCCATAAGCCATAACACGTTCCGACCTCACTATTGGCTTCCTTACTCATGTAGCTGGATGTTTTCCCGTACAAGAAACTGGCATGTCAGTAACAAACTAGAACGACCACACAAAATAATAGGCTGTATTAATGGTGATGTAAATACAAAGTGACTACATCAATGAAATCATATCAATTGGCAAAAATAATTACCTTGGTAAATAAAACTTCAGACCAGTAGTCAATGGTTTCGGTCCAGTAGTAAAACTTACAAATAGCAAAGGTAAAATAAAGTCTATTGGCAAAAATCCAAGGTTTAGTAATGCCAGTTTCTCTTTAGCAAAGCCTTGTTCAATTATCTTTAAATGTGTAGCTGAATATGTACCAAAAGTGCATATCTAATAATAATGATAATAATGATAACAATAATAATGAAAAAAACATGGAATAACAACACAATTAAACAGGTAAGTTGCTCTCGAAAAAACAGTGATATTTATTAAAAGAAATAATTGAGCGCTACTGGTTGCATTAGAGCTTATGGAGAACTGTCATTGAGATTTCTAACCTTAAATGGTATTCGTCAGGGCTATCCACGTTCTCTACTTTTGTTTAACTTCGTCATATGCAATTTTTTGTAGAAATAACTCTAGTAGCCTGAACTTTCAGTAGCTGATGTTTTACCAAGAAACTCACTTACTGACTTGGAATAAGCTGATAATATACTTTCTTTGATGAAAACGCTGACAAAATGAAGAGTCTTCTTACCACCTTAAGGAACAATGAAACCATTTTGGGATGTGATCTTCCCTCTCTAGATGCGGAATGTTGCTTCAAGATTGGTTTGTGTCAGTGTATAAATTAATGATAGTCTGTGAAGCAGCTGAGCGAGTCAACCACTTCACTAATCTTGGAGTTCTTACCAGCCCTGGTTGGTTGATGTCTGATGAAATCTCAGTTGGCTTTTGGCAACTTGGATCGCCTGTGGTGTAGGCGAGATGTCTGTATGCCATCTAAGGAACGAATTTATTGAGTAGAATTTTTTTCTCTTCTATTTTATGAGTGTAAAGCATGGTCATTAAGAATAAAAAGTATTCGTAGGTTACTAGTTTTCGATCATAAATATCTTTGAACCACTATCTGTATTTCAGGATCACCGGCTGAGTAATCTTGAAGTTAGACATAAGGTACTAGGTAAAGGTGAGAAATCGATTGATGAGGTATTAAATCTTTACTAACTGAGGTGATTTAGAAATGTATTATGGTAATACAAACACCGCCTACCTCGACTCCCGATAATGGCTGGCATAAGAGCAGGCTGTTAAAAATCTAGGGGTGATCAAATCAAGTCTATAAATACACTAACTATTGGACTGAGCCATAAAGCTTCGTGTAGATTACTTGATTGGGGTACCCCCAACTATCGTAACTATCAGTGAGCGACTTTGGATAATATGGCTCAGGTGGGTCCATTATTTATGTTCCCTTATTCTCTGAGTTCCAAACTTTTCTTCCAAATTTTCTCCCTTTCTTTCCATAGTTAATCTCTTCTACTGCTACTGATCGTGTTACTACTTTTACCACCATATGATTTGTCTTAAAACAATTGTATCTCATTGTGCTAAAATGGTGTGGCAACTTCAATGAATCCACATGTGGGTCAGGCTCTGCGCTGCATATGATCGATTGACAGACTTATATTCGATTCAGATTACATGCATATTAGGGAGAAAAGAATCAGCAACTAAAATCTGTGAAATCAAAAAAGATGTTTTATTTTATTTCTATCAATAACTAATTGAAATAAACCCCATGCAAAACGTAGTATCGTAAGTTAATCGACCAATGTAGACACTAGCATTAAAATCCCCCATTTATTATAATTTGAGTCGTATAAACTGGATTGCTCAACAGTCGGAGGACAACATTAATTTTATTAGACATCAAAGCCAAAAGTAATCATGTATAACTTCGACATTACCAATAAATATTTATGAATTTCTAGTCTGAGATCATCACACTATCAGTAAACATCATTTTATACACGTACGTTTCACAAGTCTAAACTATCATTCACTCAGAACTCTACAGTATCAACATTAAAACTCGTTAAAATCTACCAATTATGTTCATCACTCATTTCGAGAACGAAAGATCGTTTCAAAATTGAATGAAATTGTGTGCAGCTTGCATTAAATTAAGTGTCATTGAATTCATAGTAATTGAGTAGACAGCCACAATTATAAGGAAACTAGAATATACGTCATGCTGTAAATAAACCTTAGGAAATATACTTCATGCATTTTTGGAAATCGAAATAATTGTTAGTAAAACAAAAGATTGGAAAAACCGACAAAGTAGAATTGAACAGAGTAATGAATAATCAACGGATATTTCACAACCTCTAATGTTATTTTTGGTCAATCATTTGTCACCTGATCAACAGTCCCATCTTAGTTAAATATTCTCTATATCCATGACACGCTCAAGTTTTATAATACGTTAATTCAGTACATCAATGATTTGCACTTCCGAATTCTACTTATTTAGGTCGCAAAGATTGGTTACTATAGCAAATCATCAATTTCACTATTTACATTACTTCAGTACATCATTAATCGATGGTGCATTCATAACCTTAAAAACTGGAAGAATAGGTTAAAACAGAGCATCAGGAAAGTTTTTAGGGTTGTATTCAATAGAGTATATTGAATATATCAGAAACTGAAAATATTGTCAATTTAGTTTCAGTAAGTATAATTTACCTGATGAATTAAGATTGTCCACGCATCCAAGATAAAAACAGTATATTAAATCTCAAACAAATCTTGTTCGAATGACAAAAATTTTTTTATGTCTTTAATTTAACTATTGTTTAACTAAGGATAGTATCACTACCTCAATTTCTGTGTTCCGAAACAAAAATTGAAAGTAAACCCTTATTTCCCATAGCTTCAATGTCATTTTTTCAGGGATTTAAGAATCCTAGATTTGATATGTGAGAAAATGAATGTACCAAACTAAATAAATATACATTGCGAAGAAACTAGTCGCAAATTTTAAAGAAGTATAGAATTCCAGATAACTAAAACAGTGCTTGATCTATAACCAAACAATAATTCAAATAAGTTATAAGATAAACTGAAATATATTGCTATAAAAATAACTGAAAATTAGTATACAAGTTTGAAACATATATTGAAATGGTCAAATATATGAACACTAGTTATATCAGATTAAAAATACAACGACATATGTTCAAACTGAACGTGAATGTTCACGACCAAACTGATTTGACTTAATGACTAGAATGTTGAAGAAAACCTTCAACTAAATTGATGAATAAGATAATGGGGTTTTTGTGGACATTTCAATATTTTCATAGTTGAAATCATTAGTCAACTGAAGCTAGACCACCATGGAAAACCTGGAAGCACTGGACGGTCGAAGCTGGTAGGTCCTGGGTTCGAGTCTCGCGAGTGCGGGATCGTAGATGCGCACTGCTGAGGAGTCCCACAATAGGATGAAACGGCCGTCCAGTGCTTCCACGTTTTCCATGGTGGTCTAGCTTCAATTGTCTTATGATTTCAACTATGAGAATAAGATAATGAGCTAATTCGCATAAATTTCTGTAAAAATCAACGGTTTGATTTATCAAGATCAACATTATAGGCTTCCATTGTGTACAGTATACATATCCAAAAATTATGCAACAAACTGAATAATATATAATAAAGGACTATGAAAGCTTAGGTTGAAGACTAATGACTATTGAGTATACAAAATATAGTTCTTTATATTACCTACTGAGAACAAATTTGGATTAAAATGCTTTAACTTCGCCAGTAATAATTTAAAATAGGAAAAAAATATAGAATCTTTTCTTAAACAATCATACAATATCGCGTACACAAAAAATCAATTAACATGGATAATTAACTTAACCGTTTTACTCACCTTTCCTAAAATTATGATTAATACATACAACGCGACAGGTTTCAGTAGCATAACGCCAATAATATTCTTATATGTATAAAATAATGAAACTTTTTTACTTCCGTCCGTTTGTTCATTTTTATTTACCGTCTGTTCAATGTTCAACGAATGTGTCGAGTATTTCGACTTACTGAATAAACGACTTTTTAGGAAGTGGCTTATGGTTCCATCCAATGTCGAGCCTTTTTCATGTTTAAATATTAGCAAAAGTGTGTTAAATATCACGAAACCAAAACCCAATACATATAGAAAACCTATTTAAAAACAAAAAATATCAAATAATTAGCAATACGTAAGAAAATGTAAACCATTTATGTACAGTGCTTAACAACAAAATATCAAGTCCACAATTGATACAATAAAAGAATATCTATTAAGCACAAGTATCTATCAAAACTGCGATATAATCATATTGAAATAATCATAGTTATATAAACTCTATGATTGATAATCTGGTATCTCAAAGTTTATGATATTTTATCAAGATATCTTAACAATATATAAGAACTTTCGTTTAAATTAGAGTGAATAGTTTCACAGTATTTGAGCGCCGAGTTGATGTAATACATTAATTAGAAATAAAATATTTGTAAAATCTCAGAGAATGAATTTGTAGTAAATCCAACGTTTCACCTGGTAATCTGGTCCAAGCTTTTTCAAGGAATTAATTCCTTGGCGAAACGTTGGATTTACTACAAATTCATTCGCTGAGATTATACAAATATTTTATTTCTAATTAATATCCTAACAATGATTACCATAAGAATGATTCTGACTTTCACATGATATCATTGATATACTAAGAAAGTTTAAAAAATCATTTAAACAATTGATTGAATTGCATCGACAAACTTTACAATTAGAATAAAATTTGCAAAACTAATTCATGATATTTCCGTACAATATATACAAACCGGAAAATGTTATTAATCCTTTGTCTTCTATGGGCGTTCGTCTAAGATATTTGTTAGGAATATCAGGAGACTCTAAACAAACTAAGGGAATAAATGATAATGCATGACCAAGGCTCTGTCCAACTTTATTACAAGTAGAAGCCCAACCAAGATTCTTCCTAAGAATTTTAATGAGAAAAAATAAAATATTATGTGAATTGAGTTTAATATATCATTAAGATATGAATTTAAAGAATATGGACAGATTTTCGATATATAATTGATAGAAATATTGTTGTTTGTTATATATTTACTAGTTTACTAAAAATAAATCACAGTTAATGAACAAACATTGGACATAAAATTCACTTATAATAATGAGAGTGGCACAAAAATATTATATATGATGAGTAAGGACTTAAAGATGGTACGGGTTTCAGCGCTTAACAACGCTGCTGTCCTCAACAAATGCTTAACTGAGGATTCCAAAACTAGTCAACCCAGAATTCAGCAAAGAAGGAGATCGAAGATATATTTGGAAGATAGTTATGCGTAGGGAAGAGTATTATCTAAGATGACTAGTTGTTGTATTATGAATTAATGATACCAGGAAACACTAAATTTAGTAATACCTAGATCTGAAATCATCTGGTTTGACGATGGTCGGAGATTTTGTTTCTGCAAAGGGGGGTCGAATCAACATTTTATGCACTGCTGAGGCATCGGCAATCCATGAAATCAAGCCTGAACTTTGCGTGCAGAAACGATTTGTTCAACCTTTCACCTTTCCTTGGCCCTAATTTCCTGAATGGGTATGTTTCTGGTTGTTGTTTTCTTTTATTTTCTGCAATTTTATTTTATTATTATCGGTTTTTTGTTCCTTAAATTACTATTTTAGATTCAGATTATTTGCTTGATCAAAGGTTTTAAATCAGTTAGTTTACTTCTTAAATTCTTCACAAATTTATCTAGGTAGCTACAAAATATAGACTAAATGATTATCTTTAAATAATATAAGGGCATAATATTGCTCAAAATGGATTTTAAAAGCAACTGATGTATTTTCGGTTAGGATTGATATAAATAAACCATGTAATCTAACTTCCAATTTTGAACAAGACTTTTTCAAAGTATACCAACTCCATCAGTCAGTCGGTCATCTAAAAGACAGGACTAGACCCATAAATACTTGGGTCCAGGTAGCCATATTTCGATACCACAACAAAATGAAGAAATTCAGTGATAGTAATACATATAAATGAAAGTTGCATTTAAGGATATGATAAAGAGAGAAAGGATTGGTTCGTAGAAAGAAAGATATAAAGTACTTTTAACCCTATGATTTAAGGGAAGACAAAGAGTGTACACACCTACGCCATTGTGACCGATTCTGAGCCATGTCATTCATAGTCTCAAATCACTCGTTGAGATAGTCGCGCGAACACCAACCTAGTAGTTTGTATCCACCAACATGGCTAAGACCAGAAGTTAGTGACTATATGAACTGATGCCGTGTTTTCGCTCAGTCACTCCAACTTTCTACCATCCGTCTGATTTCTTTACTCTCTTCATGGTGTTCAGATTCTGATAGGATAAGTTTGCGAGAGTCTATCAATGCAGTAGATGTCGCAGAAATTCACTGGTTTTTCGTAACCCTTTGGTTCAAATCAGCAATAGATGTTGCTGCTGTCTTCACAGTTGATCGTATATCTTACCGAGCAACATTTAAGTCAGCCTCGTTTTCAAAATTGCCTAGGTGTGACTTCAGTTCTTCCTAGAGTTTGCCTTGCTTTTCTCATCACTGAGTTCAACTCCAATGGGTTTTCTCAATGTGGTTTTTATGAGTCCAGTTAGGCACAGGCAAATGAATCTGTGACATGTTATCACATTTTAAGGAGGAATAATTATAGGACATAGTAAATTATTTATATCTGTTGGCAGTAAACACTTAATTTTATTAAACTAGCCATTGCAATTTATGAGTCAGTGATAACAACCAAAACAATTGAGGTAGAATAGAATGAATTCATTATTATTTAGTGGTTTCTCATCAGCTGCTTACAACCATATGTGTATTAAAAAGGTAACATTGAGGTGTGATACAATGTGACACAATTGACATTGATAACGAAAAGGATTAGAATTACAGAAATTATCAATGATTATATATATATATATATATATATATATATATATATATATATAAACGAAAACCAGTCAACAATGTATAAAAAAGTAAACAGAAATACCACATAAATACGATGAATAAGGAATAATATTAATATTTCAGAACGATGGCCAGAATACTTTAAGGAGCAGCCCAGCCGACCTTCAGCTACTTACTCTACAGCTACCCATCATTTCCAAACAGCACTGAAGTAGGCTCCCCAACTCTAATTGAAGTCCTATCTATAGCTATAGATAAACTGAAATAAGGAAGAGCAGATGGTCCAGATGGATTAAATCAAAGGCTGCTTAAGGATAGTGGTTCAGTTTTATCGATTAGGTTAACTAATATTTTAGCCGAAATCTGAGAACTGAATGTAATCCCATGTAACTGGTCTTAATGACTGGTCCTCTCAATATATGAAGGGATCAGGAATATATGATAATATTCGTTTCTATATTTTTATGCTAGGTAAGTTATTTATTTTCCTTTGTCCTCATTTTGCCTACTTTGCTTTACAACTTATACACCAGCTCGCCTATGGTGGAAAACCTGTTCTATCCAAACAATCTCGAGTCACTGACTGGTTGACATTTGAATGTTACCACCGACTACGAAACAGTCTTTTTGATACCACGTGCAGCATCCAAACTGGCCTCCTTGAACGTTCACACATTAATGCATATCAACAACAGATAGGGCTGGCTATGTCTTTAGAAAGTCTTAACATCAACGTTTGTTGTCTATCTGAGACCCGTATTCAAGACTGGCGAAGTACTACAAATTCGCACTCCATATGTCGTTTCAAAAGGCTTGTTTTACATGCGTTTATCCGGGGACCCTGTGGCATCTTTGTCTGGTCTTGCTGGAGTTGGTGTCACACTAAGCGTTGGAGCTAATGCAGCATTAATCGATTGGATCCCTATTAACAGTCGATTATGTGCTGTTAGATTAGAAAGCTCCATTAAAGTGAGAAGAAATCTGTTTGAGAAACGATGCCGTTTCGTTATCGCCTACAGCCCAACAGATTGCAGACCGGATGCAATCAAGGATGAGTTCTTTCACTGGTTGAGTGTTCTCCAAAACGCGTGTTCAACAGACATTGTAGTACTAGCCGGAGAACTGAATTCTCAGGTCGGGAATCTAGCCACAGAAGAGAGTCGTCTAGGTGGCCGATGGGAACTTGTTGGTCGCAGGTCAGATAACGGCGACCGTCTACTGCAACTATGCGCAAACTACAACCCGTTTCTGGCTAGCGCTTACTACTGATACAGTAATCGCCGATGTGCTACCTGGAATCCTACCTCTGCATCCCAAGCCTGGATTCAGATGAATCACATCGCCATCAGCTACCGCTGGCGTGGTTGTGTACAAGACTACCGCTTCACTTTGGAGAACCTATCTGGACTGTGATCATGCCCTTGTCTGCACTAATCTTACCTTACGTTCCAGTGGCCAACAAATTCATCATCCTAAACGGATCGATGTCAGCAAATTGGTTGCACCTTCTGTTGCACTAAATATCAAACTGAGCTAGGTTCAAGGATAATTACCATCCCACCCGAAAGTATAGATGAGCATTGGTTGCGACTGCATGACACCATGAAAATAGCGAGTAAAGTCGCTTGAGGCTTCGCGAAACGTTTCACTTATAAGCATTGGGTTTCTTCAGGCTCCCCATTGAAGCTCGTGACCGCGAGTTTGACCACAGACGAAGACTGTTACGTAAGGAGATTGTGCAAAGCTTGTGTAAAGACCGAGAAGCCTGGTGGTCGGAGCATACCAACGAGTTGGAAGCATTAGCCGCATCTGCTAACCGCCTGAAGCTCTCTCAACTCATCCCAATCACTGGTAGCGACAAGTCTGGAATGAGTAAAACAATCTGTGAAGATGACGGGATCCTAATCACTAAGATCTATCCATTGTTCCATTCAAGCAGTAGAATTGTTCTTTGGAACTGTCTATCGAAAAAGGGTGTGCCTGGGAATTTTACTAACATCTTGAAAGCCCTATATACAAACGCCTCAGGTAGAGTGAGGGAATACAACCACCTTTATCTATTGTTCCATTCAAGCAGTAGGGTTGAACATGGTTTTCTAATTCCACGATTCTTCTTCAACTTTGCCCCCAATGTCATTCTAGGAACAGCGCTGATGGATGTAGGTAATTGTGGCGTGGGTCTGTTGCCTGGAGAAAGACCTCTCGACCTTGAGTATGCGGATGATATTGTCTTACTGTGCAATCATACCCAAGCTATGCAATCCGCACTTAATCAGTTGACAATCAGTGTCCGCATGTATGTCATGTGCTTTGCACCTTCCAAGTGCTAAGTACTTCTACAAGACTGGTAGGATTCTAATCTCGTACTCACCCTGGATGGTGAGCAGATTGAAGTAGTCGAGAAGTTCGTGTATCTAGGTGGCTACATAAGTGCTGGTGGTGGCGTGAGTGATGAGATCAATTTAAGTATAGTGGAAGCCTGAAACGACCCTGATTATCCACGTCGTGCATTATTTGCCAACGCTCACACCTGTCGGAAAAAGCGCAGAGGTGGTTAGTGTATAGTATGATGTCGTGGTATGAAAGAAAGCTGTACAAGATTGGCTTCTGTTAATTCTTCACGACCCCTTGGTTGGCGTCCTACAGATAGTGCAACACAGTGGCTGAAGACTTTATCAGACGTGGATCAGTATAGAAGATAGTGGTGATCCTGCTGTAACGTTCTTTTACTTTCTTCACAAAAATGAAAGTAACTTTTTTAACTGAAGGAGTTCGTTCTGGTTGTATTTTTCCTTACTGAATTGTTTCTCCTATTATTATTATTATTTCGCCGTCACACACTAATTTCTGTTCCTTGTTGTTCTTCTGTTATTATACGTACTTTGCATTATTTATCTCTTCCTAACCTCATTGTGATTGTGTGGCGCATATGTATTTGGTGCCCCCTTGTACCAATGTTTGTGTGTTCAAATACATAAAATAATTAACATAAAACAACGTACTTTGATAGTAATGTCAAGGCCCAGCCATCAACCGCAATATCTTGTGTAGCTGTCAGAAATGTAAGTACGAAAAATGTTATAGTTAAGCGTATTATATCAACTGGATGATGTGATCCTAGCTGACTCCACGCTTTGTTGGGGTCTCGTCCAAACCAATCATCGATATAACTTGCTAGCACAAGTAACTCAATTCCAATTGCATACTGAGTTATTATGAGCCACGTCTTCCGTCTTCCAATAAAATTGATGTAAATCGAATCAACTATCGGAGCCCAGAGAAGTTTCAAAGAGAAAGGCCAAGATGATAATGAAAATGTTGCTTGTAAATTATAGACACCCATAAGGTAATTTGATTGGAGAAGATATGGAATCGAAGCAGAAATGCCAATAGAAACGCCCTATTAAAACAATTTTGTTCAACAGGTGAAAATAGTATTAAAAATTACAAAATGAATTGAATTTGTCGAAAATAGAACTACTAATTTTCATCTGTACAGCGAAGATTGAGATCAGGAACTTTTCCCTAAAATATGAGGATATTTGTACCTAATGTCATATTATAACACATGACTTCATGAGCATTACCATAGGCTTTACGCACTAACAGTTATTTTTAGAAGACATTATTCCCTTGAAGTATTTAACTCCGCTTTTTACAAGTTTTTTTTATTAAAACTTGAATATTCACGACCTTTACTAAGCTAACGAACTAACATCTGTGAAACACTAAAACCAGTAGTTTTATATAAAGTGATCTGATATAATCAAACCACCAAATTAAAGTTGGTGCAATAAGTGTGTTCAGAAAACTGAGTCTCATTGATATCTAGAATAGGAATACGTTTTAGCAATGTATGATTGGCATTGAAACATTTACATCAAATGTGTTAACATTATAACTCCAAAATGACGATCTACAACAGTGAAGGGAAAGTTTTTAGACAACTAGGAGGTTATGAGTATTCATTTACATATATGTAATACGTGAATGATAGAAATTTTTCTAAGAAAAGGTACTGAAGTAAATCTTGGAGACAAGCTCGTGAAGTCAGACGTAATAAAATGTTTACCATTAGAATATGCGATCCGTAAAGCCTAAAGCGATGAATGCAATGCCAAATACTTTACAAGATATTCACTTAATAGCGGCAGTAATAATTTTTCAATGGTTTCAGCTATTGTATGAGGCTTCATATGCCGAAATCCTTATAGAAATTTGTATAATTCAATTAATCGAATTTACATTGTCCAAATACAACTGTAAAGAACCTTTTAGTTACTTTTGACTTCAAGTTTCTTGGCTTGGTAAAGTCATACATTAAAAGTGATCACTCAACCAGAGAATGACAACAAACGTCTCCACGGCTACTTAAGACCAGATATCTTGCCTCCCCGAATAATAACACTCGTTTACGATAAAAACGGGCATCTTAGACTCATGACTCTTTGAGCTATATAAAACTACTGTCAGTTTTTAACTATGGTTAGCAAATACGTACAATGACAAAATTTGGTCGATTTGTGTAGCTAAAATAGCTTATATGGGCACATTTTAGTCCCCAACATAAAAATTTATACAACAGTTACCGAATTGAGTACTTTGACACTGATTAAAAAAAGAATAACATCTAAATAAAGACATTGAATAAAATCGATTGTGTGCAACCAATGTCTTGACCAACCTGAAAAATATATAATAGTATTAGTGTGAGAATCGCTGTGATATCTTGACACGAAGTAATAAAGATGCGCAACCTTTTTAATATAGACGGAAACGTCATGAGTGATGCCTGACGTCCTGCAAGCCACGGTAAAAAAGCAAATATCCTGAAATCGCCCGCTGTTTCGTTACAACGACCTTGAGATAAACAATTTACTGATGCTACATCACATTTGAATTCTTCAAGGTTCGTTGGATGTCTTTTATGCTGTTTGATTTTCAGTTGTTGTCAAATTTATGTGTTCCGCTACTTCGTAGAAAGCACAATGTTTTTAAGAAGAACGTTAGCTATGCTTTCTTTTTTTAGTATGCTTTTGGCTCGCTCCTTACTTTTCAACTATTTTCTGGAAAATCAGTGGCTCTGTGACACTACACAGCTACATTTTCTTCGCCGAAGACGTAAAAGGAGCCAGAAAATGACGTAGAACCAACGGTTATTGCGAAATTAATCTGCAGAAATTCGCAGAAATCACTGGTTTTCACAAAAGAAAAGTCAAATAACTGATGAGTTTGTAGGGCCAGTTAAATGTCACTGATCCGTAGCCAAATTATTCGCCAGTTGCGTTACAGGATGCTGAACAGTTCATCGATCCCCATCACTGACAAAATATAATCACCCAACAAACGAACAAAATTACGAAGGTTTTACTTTGCTTTATTGTTAACTGGATAGATATTGGACGTTGTTTGTATAAATCATTTGTGATCACTCTGATATTGAATAGAAGACATAGACCACGTTCCGAACGGAAGACATCAAAGAATTCTTTTGGATCGGGTTACAGTTCCACTGCAACGCAAGTTTAGTGAGAATCTGTTCCGCATGGTTGAATAGCGAATAACGAAGAAAGTCTGGCGTCAGTTTGCGTAGGTTCTCTGAACTGATAAAACATTCTATTTATTAACGCGAAAGCGTAAGAAATATCATTTATAATCCTACAGATAAAGATAAGATTTGATTTATTACGCCTGATCCAGAGAGGTTCTAACTTGAGTTGTCGACAGCTTTGGTGGTAATCCTAGCTGTCGAAGTACCTCAAAACAGCTTTAGCGAATTCTCCCTGAAGGTCACAGATATTCAGGTTTGACACCGCTTCATTCGTGACATCTTTGTAATAGAAGGAGGGCGTATCTCGGTGAACCTAATGGTGATCTGATGAGGATGTGTGACTCGGCGACTCGAGCTAAAAGATATGTCTACCACTTTTAGGGAGGTTTACATAAATTTCGAAGACCTACAGAGCTATGTATCTCTGAGGTCTATTTACTGCTGCAAGAAACTGAAAATATACCGTAGATATCCGTCAGTAGTTGGAATCGTTTCTACATATAATATCAATGACAAGAAGAATGATGTGTGGCACGTTCAAATGCGTGGATATTCGTTGCTTCGGTCATCAATAACATAAATTTGTCCAAGGGCGCTGAATTCAGTCTGAATGGGAGTTAAAGGAATGATGAACTGATATAATGTGAATTTAGGTGGACTCACAGGAATAATGAGGCACATATAGACTACCAAGGTGTTTTTTACAGCGTTACCAAACAAAAATAAACTAGAGACATGTGGTGGATGGGGTAAGCGGTGAACACACGTTCATATAAACAGCCAAGGCTAAAGGTGAACGATTAACAAGGTCAAGAATTGAATCAAGAAGGATAGATTAACTGGTCTGTCCGAAATCTAGATTTCCCCAGACACTACAACTAATCCACGCTAAGGAATTAGGTAAAAAGACATTGTGTATGGAAGCTAAGAGTGCTGGCTACAACAAATCTAGATGTTTTGATCACAACAAGGTTAGTATATGTGGAGTCAATAGCTCAAGAAATTAGTTGGTTTTGCCTGTGTGCTCATGGGATTTGAAAGACAAACCCAACTATGAGGTTGGACAGCTCAACATCCCATGAACAAGGGATATTATCGCACGGCCTGGACGTTTACCATAGTCTTCTATTATGCTACGGAACTAGGCAGAAGGAATAGCCACAAACACTTTTTCGCAAACGTGCAATCATTATTCGTTGTTCTGTGTGGCGGGATAGTGACGGCGAACTAGGTGAGTAGTTGTGTAGTTCGTTCGTTACTTTTGTCACCTATGTTCTTATGTTGCATACAACGTTACTAACAGCCCAGGCTTTCAAGGCTGGGAGGAAAGAGGACATTGTGGTTTTTTGGTGTGGAGTTCTGAAAGAGTAGCGATATTCGAACTACTAGTTTGCACCAGGATTTCTATAAATTTGATGTGTATTGTAATTTCGGTTGAATCTTTTGCCTGGTAATAAAATATACGACAGATGGTGCGAAAACGGTATGGATAACATCACATACATACATTAATCATATTCACAAATGTGATTAATTTGAAAATATTGCCTTCGCCTGGAAAACAACTTTTTGTGCAAACAATCCGGGCTCGAACTTATTGTCAGTAGATTTGTTTTCTGAGTATTTATTACTGCAGTTTCGGTCTCCATGTTTGTAAAATGTTCGGAAAAACTATACTTTGTAACTCAAATATTGTCCTTGACCGTACCGACCGTGTTAGTTAATCTACAAAAAATTTAACGATCAAAACACTGGCTATCCACCGCTTATAAGACCCTGTATTTTCATAATCCGAGATAGTGTAGGTTCGGTGATTGAAACCAGTGATTTGTAGAAAAGCAAGAAATATGGAACTGAAGAGTGGACAGAGACCGGTCTCCCATTCCTCTCCAGACAAAACTCGCAGTAGACTGACTTCGATCTAATTGCTGAGGCTCCGTAAATCAATCATCCAGATAACCGTCACTTAATAAATCCCAAAGGTGTGTGAATTCATATGGCAACATGAAGCGCCGACTACAGTTTATTATTAAATAGTTCAGACCACAAAGCTACAGGTACAACAAGCAAATTTGAGCAGAAGAGTTAATAAGCAAGAGCAAGCGAATACAGAGGCAGTTTTGGAGTCAAATCAATTAATGAGATTCAACCACATATATATGGGAAAACGAATGGTTCATCGAGCGATTTTTAGAAAGTTAACATTTAAACTGGAGGGAGGGATATGTGCACAGTCAGTCACATGTGATAGAGAATACGTGTTCATACAGACATGACAGAAATAATAATACAAATACTAAGACAACCAGTTATTTTTGTATAACATTTCCTGTTAAATTATTTAGTTGAATGGCTTGGCGAAATTGATGTCACACAAAATTAATTGTAGGAGAGGTGCCATAAATTGAAGCTTCCGGGGATTGAAATGGACAATATAAAAGAGACCACAATGCGACAGAACCAAACATTGCCTTCATTAAGATTCTTTAGGCTCTTCGGGAGTCGGGAGGAACGATAAATAGGATCACAACTAAATGGATACCACACTAATATGTCAAATATATGCAGGAGTGAACGGGCCTCATGTGAACTGTGCTGAAATATAATACTGGTGGTCTTCTGTGGACCGGTAACTGACAGTGTCCGTCAAACTTCACAGGATCCCATTACTATCGAACATCTAGTAAGCTAATTGTTTCAAGGAGTTAGTTTAAACTAAACCTTCTTTGTCAAGCTCGTTAGGAATAATAAATGTTCTGACCTGTTTCACGGAGTTGCCCTAATACATAGTAAGAACTGTTGTGATAACTTGAGGGACAAGGTCGTATTCAACGATATGTGTCCACTACAGTAGCTGTATAGTGAATAAATATGGAATTATTTATACCTGATTACTTGGCTTCATCCATTGTCAGCCTCAAACCTTCGAGCTGATATGAAATGTAAATAAGGAAGATACGAGAGCGTATATTTAAGATGTGTTTGAATGTGTGTGTCAGACTTACAAAAGACGTAAAAATATGTGTTGTACCTCAGCGTAAAACTTTACATACACAGTTATGGACAGATCAGAATAAAATTTTTAAAACAGATAGAAACATTAATTATCTGACAGGAAACTGGGGTGACAACATTAGCTGGCTGAGGTCCAAATTGACCGAACACAGCTTACTGCATGGTTCTGGTGAACCTGCTCCTCGAAGAGGTCGAATTCAAGCTACATTGTTAAGTTAATTCATTTCAATGTACTTTGAAGGCTCGTGTTACAAATCAGCTCATATACAAAGCACTCAAAACTTTTTTCTGCTCCGTTACTAGTTTTGAGTAAGACATGCAGATATGCTAGCAACAGAGCAGATAATCTGAAAACCACAAAAAGGGTCTTATTTAACCTATCGTCATTTGTTGAATTCTTATTTAAATGTTGTATAAATCATTTTTACTCAGGACTTGGGTTGTCGTATTTCCAGATTTTAGGGCCTTCTTTCACCGAATTTTTTCACTAAACTCTAGTTAGGAATTGCCTCTGTGGCTTTATCCTATTGAATGATACTAGAGTATTAAGGCTTTATTGAACTTCACTCAAAGTTAGAATATGAAAAAGTTAGCAACTTTGAGTTTTCACTTTCTACTGGAATTTTTTGCTGGTTAGTTTGATTATTGTAAAGAGAAATTTGAGAGGAATATATTGGTATTATTATCGTTGATTCTCATGTACTGGACAGTCGTCTTTATTACCACTTTTCTCCATATGGTATCAAGCAAAATTCGAACTATATAGTTAGTCGGAGACAATGTTCACCTATACAGTATCTGTTTTCACAGTATAGTTGTTACGGGAGAACTGAAGATACTTGGCTGATTAAAACCTTTTCACTGTGCATCAATTTAACTGTGTTTTTGGATGTGTTTGTTTTACTTAACCTTTGGACTTGTTTGTTTGTATCATTCTTTTCGGATATTTTGATTTCTTTTGTCATTGGTTTGGTATTTGGGAGTTTTTGCTCCGGGAACTTACAAAATTGAAGGTTTGTTTTGTAATTGTTATAACTATTGTTGTTATAACGACTTTGGTCGATTATTTGTGAATTGCGAATAAACTTGGTATCTAATTTGGAGTTTTGGTTCTCTCGTTTACTTGGCTTCGTGATTTGCGAATATCGACGGCCAGTACTTCAATAGTTGGAACGGGCGAAAACTCATAATTGGACGTAACAACTTAGGTCTAACTT